GACGGGACAATGTGTAGGTAGTGAGTAATTGAACTGCAGTCGGAGAGTATTGTTGAAACGTTTGTATAAGCGCGACTGTTGAAATTAAGTGTATCGTAAAGTTGTATTCGGAAAGAATAAACCAGGTTTATTTAAGAAAGGACTTGTGTCGCTAAACTTTAGTCGGAACGAATTTACGGAAAATTAACTAACGACTGGAGGCGTAACAATATGTTGTATCCCAGCCAGCTTTTTCGGCATCGGCATACAAAACTTAAAATGTTATTAGTTCCATCTTTGTATTGGTCCATTTCACAAGATACATTAATACTAATTTTATCGTGCTTTTTATCACACTTGTTAGTCAAGAAATATTCATATTCTAGGATTATAGGCTATTTGGGGGAATATAATTACTTTAGTAACTCCAGTAATAACAGATTCAGTGCTATTATTGTCTACTTAGCCTTCATATTATTTAAAGAGTATTCATATTCTAGGATTATAGGCTATTTGGGGGAATATAATTACTTTAGTAACTCCAGTAATAACAGATTCAGTGCTATTATTGTCTACTTAGCCTTCATATTATTTAAAGCAAAACATATTTATCTTCCAGATAGGTGGTGTTAAAGTCATACTTGGACAGTTCCTGAAAGTGAAAGTAAACAAAAAGAAGGTTCGTTTGCCTTTCGTCAAGCTTGGCGTCCTGTCTGTCCTTCAAGAGGGATACATGGTGGTTGTTCGGACCAATATCGGTAAAAAATTAACTTAAACCAGCAGGGAGGGGCCGGTGAATTTGACGCACTCTTAACAATTGATTTTAATTGATTAGCCAGTATGCAGTAAGTGATATTGCCCGGGCTGGTCCTTTAATGCTAGTCCGACTCTGTAAACCATAATCAAACAGTATCGATAAGAAGTCTACATGTTAGTTAAACCAGAATCAACATTATCGATAAGAAGTTTACATGTTAGTTAAACCAGAATCAACATTATCGATAAGAAGTTTACATGTTAGTTACACCAGAATCAACATTATCGATAAGAAGTTTACATGTTAGTTACACCAGAATCAACGTTATCGATAAGAAGTTTACATGTTAGTCAAACCAGAATCAACATTATCGATAAGAAGTTTACATATTAATTAAACCAGAATCAGTATTATCGATAAGAAGTTTACATGTTAGTTAAACCAGAATCAACATTATCGATAAGAAGTTTACATATTAATTAAACCAGAATCAATATTATCGATAAGAAGTTTACTTGTTATTTAAACCAAGATCAGACAGTATCGACAAGAAATTTACATATTAGTTAAACGAGAATCAGACAGTATCGACAAGAACTTTTACATGTTAATTAAACCAGGATCAGACAGCATCATTAAAAAGATTACATATTAGTTAAACGAGAATCAGACAGTATCGGTAAAAATATTACATATTAGTTAAACCAGAATCAGACAGTATCGATAAAAAGTTTGCATATACTAGTTAAACCAGAATCAATAACCAGTATCGGTAAGAAATTTACATATAACAATTAAACCACAATCAATCAACCAGTATCGGTAAGAAATTTATATATAACAATTAAACCACAATCAATCAACCAGTATCGGTAAGAAGTTTACATACTAGTTAAACCAAATTTAAGCGATCAGTTTACATATTAGTTAAATCAAGTTAAACAATCAGTTTTATATTTTACTTAGCGAATTCATATATAATTAACACAACTTATGTATTTTGCCCGATATCTTTTTAAATTCACCAAATCGTTTAAACAAAGAAAAACTTACCATAGTCAGGTGGCTTCTAGAATTGAACAAGTCATCAAAGTAATTGATCTTAACATACAATTCACCAAATGTCTTTTTGAATTCGGCAAATAACTTGTATATATAGGTTTAATAAACTTTAGAGGTACAGTCAGGTGGATTATTGACTTCGGCAAATTCCTTAAATATGCAGGATTAATACACCTTAAAGCTACAGTCAAATGGATTACTGAATTAAGCAAATCTCGAGGTACATGATGTTGAAAAGCTACAATTTGTTGAGAGATAAAATTCATTAAAACTCTTCACTGTTTGCTGTTCTAAAAGATGTAAAAGTTCCTGTTGAAGTTACTGGTCCTTGTACACTAGTCTTATTTGTACATTTTAAATATTCCTTCCAGGGCTTAAGGTAACTTGGGACGGTGACAGTTACGTTGAAGTTTCCCTTCCTCCTGACTTTAAAAATCAAATGTGCGGACTGTGCGGAAACTACAATGGCGACCCTGATGACGATTTTACCACAAAAAAAGGAAATCGAGTTACCGATGTCGTAACGTTCGGGAATGTGTGGAAAGTAAGACACCTTTATTTTCCAAACTTTTCACAGTCTCTTTTAATTTTTAAACGCCAGTATATGTTTTTATATCACTTATTAGGCTTCATCAGTAGGTTATTATTAAACCAGACAAAATATGTGTTAACGATCCAAGTTGACAGCTGTTCGTCTAATAAACGACAGGACAAAGATAAATTATCTACAATTATTATAGAGAACTAGATGGAGTAACCGCCAGTTGGACGGATGGAATAAAAACTTGTTTGTAACATTGAGCTGTGTTCACCAAGTGGAATCGAAATCCCGGATTTTAGCGTTGTAACTGTGTAGATCTTTGTTCAAAAACTCTTCTATACAAGAACTATCAATATTATATTAAACAAACTGAGCCCCTTCGCAATTGGTTTCCCCCTATTCAAGTTATTTTAATATAAAGTCCCTATTCTTACAGTACCGTTATTCACGAAATGAGTAACCTCGTTATTAGCATTTCTTTTTATCAGGAAGAGTCCTTCTGGATACTTATGCAATTTGAATTAATTGTTCTCTTTTCAGAAACTATGTTAAATGATTTCGATATTAAACACTCTTTATTTTAAAAACTTTATCAGTTCAGAAGTACATTATATATGAACGAAACATTTCATCCGTTTTTCATTATATCAATTTCAAAAACTTATTAATTAGGTCACTGTCTGTAGTTCTTGTCTCTATTTAGATTATTTCTTGACTGTTTAGGTCGTGAGTAAAAATGTTATATATAAATATATTTATGTATGAGTACAGTAAAAGCATATTTCCTCATACGATTTCCAGCGAGGGAAAAAGCGTCAATGCAAAATGCTCCAGCCAGAACCAGTAAGCAAGGGAATATGTGGCCAGAACTGGGAAGCCAGGATACGAGGAATAGAAGAATGCAGTGTTCTGAAATCAACTCTTTTCCGTCGTTGTTTTCAGGTTGTAGATCTTGGCCCTTACCTTCGGTGAGTTAACTTTATGAACCTGATAAAAAAAATATTTTTTTTTTCTAGATGTAATTCTTGGTTCTTACTTCCGGTGGCTTTACTCAATAAACCCGATCAGTGTATGATTGTCCTTGTTTTCAAGGTGTTAATCTGGGCCCTTACTTCTAGTGAGTTTACTCTATAAACCCGACCAGTGTACGATAGTCCTTGTTTTCAAGGTGTGATTCTGGGCCTTTATTTCCGGTGAGTTTACTCTATAAATCAGACCAGTGTATGATAGTCCTTGTTTTCAAGGTGTGAATCTGGGTCCTTAGTTTCGGTTACCCCACTTTATGATATCTATAGAGTTATTATTACTTCTAAAACGTTTTAAGTTATGCATGTCTGTAGATTAATATACTCATACCTTCCACAGTATAAATATTAAGCTTTTGTTTATCCAACTTAATTTTATGTTTAGATATTTCACACATTAACTTGTTCGTTGACAGTGAATTTACACTTGTTTACCAAATTGATTCTAATATTTTAGGAATAACACGTGTAGCGGAAGAATTTTAGATTTACCAAATACAGTTCAAGGCACGTGCTTCTATTTTTAAGAGGTAGTATCCTCGTTTTGGTGTAATGTGGCTAGGTGAAGCTATCTGACCTATATAAAAGCCAGTATGTGTCACGTCACGCTTGATTTCTCAAAATAGAAGGAGTAATAAGAGACAAAATGCATTTATCGAGATATAAGAGTTCAGTTACTGTCTGCCCATTATGATTTTAGTGACGGCGTGTGTGTGGTGTGAAACCTTATAAGTGTAGGGAGTGTTGGTATTGTTACGCCTCTGTGTTCGTTTGTTAATTTTCCGTAAAAATTATTTCCGAAGAAACTTTAGCGATACAAGTCCTTTCTTAAATAAAACTGGTTTATTCTTTCTGAATATAACTTTGCAATACCACAGTCGTGGTATAATTTAAACGAACGCTATAATTCACAACGAACGACTCACGTGCTCGACTCAACTGCCCGTCTCTATCTCTGTCTGCAGTTCAATTACATTACATTACATTGTTGCCGTCACTTCTTGGTGGTCTTATATACATGAATACCGCATATCTAGTAAACACTCGAGAATTCACGAACCTTCGAGAATATGACGTGTTACTAGCGTCACGTGACCCCCGCTGTCGTAACAGTATAATAAGCCTAAAGTAAAGACGTAGTGTGGAATCAAGTGCGTAAAATTTATCAGGAAAGTCAAAATATCGATTCAGTACTTACATCGTTTCTGAATTAAGCTATTTTCTGTTATATCACCAACGTTTCTAATATAAAAAAACCTTTTAATCAACGGAAACTCTAAATTAAGAAATCAACATATATGTTTCCAGTTTTGTTGTCTATACATTTCGTTTTATACTTTCAGTAATGAAATAATGAAAAAAAAGTGTTCAAAATTGGTAAAACATACGTCTATGACAAAAACTTTATATTCATTTGCAACATTTCGGACAAAAGCCCTTCGTCAGGCAGTTTAAACTGTGTTACATAGAAAAAGGATTAGATAGAATCGTTGAAGGGTTAGAATATTTAGAGATTCTAAATTACGTACGTACTGTGTATAGCACCTTAACAAAAACATTGTTAGAAGGAACACTATTGAAGCGGTTCTATAAACAATTTTCACTACATAGACGAACAACAATATTAGGTTATACTTTCGTTGCTAAGCAATATGACATAAAAAAACATTGTTGGAACATAGTGTTATCAAATCGCCCTGGCATTTCTATATATTAGAAGTTGTTAATCCAACTGATTTTTACCAATACTTATTCTATGAATACGCCACGAATTCATGTCCTGAATGATCTTAATATTGATTGGCTCACAAAGGAATCTACCGACGTTTGACTGCCTCGACTACACTTTCTGCCTATATGTTGGCCAAGCTTGGTTTCGCAAAATTTATTTATTTCAGTTAGCTATGAAATGTTAGATTAGGGTATACCATGGAGTGATATAAAAAGAAGTATAATTAAAACCGCATAGGCGACGAAAATATCAAAATTAAATAATAGTTTGAACAATCGTCAAGTTTTTTTATAATTTTATATAAAAAACATGGCGATTGTTTAACCTATTATTTAATTTTTATACTATGGTGTGGGGGTGGTAAAACTTGCCCCGTAATTTTTGACGGGTTATACGCTAGTTATATATATTGTTACGCCTCCAGTCGTTAGTTAATTTTC